TTTTCAAAATTAGAAGCTTCAACAGTGGCCACAATGTGTCAAAGGTTGTGAACCTGCTAAACATGTATATGCAATATCTTTTCCAGCCAAGAAAATGTGACACTGTTAAACATAGTTCTAGAAAAGTGGTCGCGGTGAAGATGGGTTCAAGTCTTGTTGGATTTAGGCCTCTTAATGCCGCATTCAGACCAAACGCAAATTTTCGCCTCGCGACGCTTTCCTCGTGTGAGTACATTTGCGATAACGTGAAAAAACACAACTTGCCATTACTACAGTTGTATGAACCCAAAGTAAACATTTTGCTGTGATTAAATAGCAATAAATGGATCAAACTGATGCCAAAATAACTACAATATGAGGCAGATTTGTTAAACATATGAATTCATGCTTTGTCAGGTCTGACAGCAGGACAACAACTTCCAAAATGTTTGTTTTCTGAATGGAGTTTGGATCAATCAGGGCTATGCTATGCTAACTTGGTCACAGTAAAGTACAATGATAGCTGGATTAAAGTTACATACACATGTTTTCTGAACTCACCAGGTAGTTCAACCTCCTCGCTTTCTTTTCTCCAAGTAATGTCCAGCTTTGTCAGGTTTTTATATAAATATGAAGTAGTGCGAAACGACGCTAACAACACTGGAACCAGATGTGCACGGAAGTTAGCTGCTGAGAAGCTCCAGTGAAGATAAATCAACGTAATCATAAAAACTAAAGTAAAAAGCTAATTAAATAAAAGCAATTTACTCCAAGCTCCTCCCTCGAGCAAACGGCGTAGTTGTCAGAGGAAAACCTGGTCCGACCACGGGTGTTTATTTGTCCGAAACCTGGAGCGCTGCTCCCTGCTCCTCTAGCCCAAGTTTAGCAGCTCTCAGCCGAACGCTCGCTTCGCTTTTGGTGTGAAAGCACCATAAGGTTAGCAAAGGATTGTGGTTTTGGTTGAAACAACTTGCCCTGTCTTCTGCTTCAAGTCAGTATTTTCAGTGTTTAATAAAGACCACAAATTTTCCCGAACGATAATCCAAGTCCTTTGAGTTGCCTTACCGTAAAAATGCTCATTAAGATAGCTGCCTGTAGAGAATATTGTATGAAAACAAATGAACTGATACGTTCAGTGTGAAGATTTAGTGACTTTGAAGGGCCTTCCTTTACTTAGCATACAACAAGCACAGTTTCTTTTTGACTTTCTGTTCCTTTTACTTCGCTATTAAGAAATGGACTATACATAAGAAACTGTGAATATGATACTCAGTGCCTTCATTAACAAAATAGTAGTCAAGTCAATAGTGAAGCCCCCTATTGCTCATCATAGACAAGCTGGAATCTGAACTTTAAGTCAAAAAAGTGTCTACCGTCTAAAACATTTTTTCTTCTTTCTTTTCTTTTCTTCTCCTGAGCTTCTTTTTCATCTGAGGTCAAGGAAAATGTGAACATTATTTTTTAATAATATTTCCCCACAGAATTATTCTAAACTGTGCCTTTCAGTTGTATGTGGGAGCTTTGGAAACACCATTGACCAAACCAACATGCCAATATTGAAGACTAAACTGGGTTGAGCAGAAATAAAAGAGAGGAAAGGAGAAAGAGGGAGGCTGAATAAAATAGTTGCCAATTTGTTTGCTGTGTGCTGGAACTGTACAAGACTTCTTTCTGAAGCGCCTGACAAGCAGGTGAGATCAAAGTCATGGGGACAAAAGAGGCTCAGCAGCGATTTGTCAGGAGACGAGAGGCAGCGGCTGGGTTCAGCCCTCTGATCACCGCCTCACCAAAGAAATCTGCCCATGAGAAAAAGTACAGCAGAAAGGGTTCAAAGGTCATTTTGATTTGCTCTGGATTACTGGTACCTCCTTTTTCCTCCGCTAAAGGGGGGGGCCAAGAAAAGGACCTGGCTAATAACCTTTGTATTATTGCAGAAAAGAAACCCTTTTGTGCCTAGAGGGTTTTTTGGGGTGGTGGTGGGGGGAGAATTTTGGGGAGGTCAATTAAAAAAGGAGCCCTGAAATTCTTGCTTTCATTCATGGCTGGAGGAGAGAAAGGGGGAAAGTTAAAATGTATGCTTTGGGCTTTTTGTGTCGAAGCACTTCACGTGGCTGGGTTTGGATTCATTTGTCAAGTGGATGATGGCAAAAGGAACGATTGGAAATATTACAGTTGGGTAAATAATTGAGAAATGGCCGAGCTTTCCTCTTGAAGCAACAGCATTGCTCATTGTCTTGTTTCTTCTAAACACAGGTGTGAATGCATCAAGATTCACTGAGAACGCTTCTGGGATCTGATCACTCCTGCCTCATTGGGAGGTGGTCAGGAATGCAAGTGTGCAGTGTAATGTGAACTCGAATGGCTCCCTGGCCACATTGAAGGACCAATTAGTCAACTTTGCATTGTGCAGATAACAGGACAAAGCTCCCATCACAGTTGATTTGCCTCTGCCAAACAACTCGGACAAGGTTTTGAAGTCTGTACCTGAGCCGAAGCATCGCACAGCTGCTACAACCCTTTTTCTCTCACTATGGCTGAACACAAATGTCTGTTTTCTTCTGTTTAGCTGCAGTTGAAGTTTCCCCACATTCAAAAGTGAGCGGGGAAGCAAAGTCTTAAACAATTGATCGCTCAATATGCATTTGAAATGCACTCTGGTGCCCTTACCTGGCCCCATTTGTGACATTAGCACTAGTAGATTACAGGTCTTCAAGGGTCCACTTGGTTCTGAGGAATCAAGATCCACGTGCATTCAGACTGGGTCCAAAATATATTTTTGGGGTGGGAAGGGTTTTGTTTTGTTTCACAGCCACAGGTCTCAGGTTTGTGTGTCAATATGGTAAATACCCAAGTGGATGCAAATAGATCGGAGCATCCTCAGTATGAGCTCCGATCACATGGCCAAGAGATTTATTTGGCTACAGTACGTTATATGTGCTTATGTGTTTTAGTTTTAGTTTTCTTGTGTGTAAATTGTGTAGTCTTTGAGGCATGTAAACATTATTTTTGTTTGGCTTTATTGGTTCACAGAGCATTATTAGGCTACGATGCTGCTCCCGCTGTGTTGGTGTTCTCTCTCTGAATTCAATGTAATTATCCTCAGGTCTATTTGGGTCGGGCTTGGCTTTGCTCAAATTCTTTTCAGGTTAGGTCTTTCTTTTTTGAATATGTATTGTTGGATGTTTGGGTATGTTTTCCACAGGTGTATTTCAGATTGGGTCCAACATTTTAGACCCAAGAAGACCTTTACCATATGTTACTCCATGATTTGGCCACATGGGGTTCCTCATGCAAATCTTCAAAGGTATTTCCATGATGCCACAGATGTCTTCTGTTTGCCTGGAACTATAACATTTTTTGCATGAGCTGAAACGTTGTTATGGACGCCGCACAGCTAAATATCTAAGTTTCAGGGAAGAACACAAGCAGAGTGGCACAGTTTGTGAAAATGTTGGGTTTAAACACTTGTCTCAGCCTGGGCAAGCATTTTCTCACATATCTCAAGAAGATATGATCATGAAAATCTCTTTGAAGATGCAACCTGCTGCAGAAAATATAGAGTTCCGACTTTTCCACAAAGGTTTTGCAGTGAACGCTATGTTGCGTACGGAGTGCTGAGGAGGGCTAACCCCGACCCTACAATCCTGCTCACATGAATTAAGATACAAGATCTGAATGAGGCCTTAAACTTGTGTTTAGCACTGTTTCATAAGTGAAATTTTAATTTTCAAAATAAAATCAACAACACACTTAACCTAATGTGAAGAGGAAGATATTTGTGTGTGTGTGTGTGTGTGTGTGTGTGTGTGTGTGTGTGTGTGTGTGTGCATGTGCATCACAAATTGAGAGCATTTGCCTTGGTTATTGCTGGGATGCCTTGTGGGCGGCGTGGAGGGGAGCGTAATTAAAATAGTTTCTGAGAGAAACAGCACACCACATCTGAGGTTCCACCCTCTTCCAGCATTTAACCACATCAAGAGCATCTCACTTAGAAATGGCCACCAGAACAACCTCTGCTACACACGGGCCGGCTGATGTTTTGGTGTGCTGTCTGACTTGCGAGGGGTCTCTGAGGCATAATGTGCACACATTTGTAATTAAAAGAACTGCCTTTTTCTGATCATCAGGGTAAATAAAGTGGCAGAGGCAGCTAGTTGGGTGATGTATGGGAGGGGAAGACAAATTAACCGTCGACTCTCTGGGGGATTCTCAGCAGAGGCCTTCATAGCAGCAGTGCAGCAGCGCCAAAGGGCAGAGAGATTTGTAGATGATGGTGCTAATTACCAGAATGCAAACCATAATGCGACCAAGATGGAAGCAATTTAGGCAGTAGTCATTTAGCCTGCTGCTCTTCCGCCCACCGGCTGCTGCCTCGCCAGAGCCAGGGCATTAGGATGGGAAAAGTCTGGGACAATCCATTGCTTGAAGGATAAAGAATGATGCACAGGAGAGAGGTTCTGTGGCGTGAGGAGTCATGTGATCTTTTTTTGTTCTGAACCTAACTTCAACAGAAACAACCTTTTGCAGGTAATACTTGCAGGTCAGGAGGAGGAAGCAGTGTATAAATACTTGAAAACAAAGAAAGCTGTGAACTTTTAACTGAGAGAAGAGTTTGGCATTGATTTGGTTCCCAAGTTAACCTGCGGCCTGTCACCACCTCTGGAAACTCTGTGGATGTCTGCATCACGTGCAGGGCTGCGTTGCCAACAAGGAGCTCTGATTCAAGGCAAATTACAAATTATAGAAACTTGATATCGACCTGAGCCTGTCATGATGGGTTTACTGTGTGTGCTTGGCAATCACCTGTTAAATTGGGATGAATGTATTTGTACTTCAGATGGATGTGGACCACCCAAAAGTCAAAGTTCTTAACCTGTTTGTTGCTTCTGAATGCTTTTTAAAAAATCCGAAATGTGGAAGATAAAGTTGTGTCCAAGTGGTAAAATTGAATTCTCCAGGGTGATAAATGAGGCTGAAGGCCTCATTATAGAGCATCAAATGTGTGAATTCATTCAGTTGAAAAAGTTGTAGTCTGTTAGGTTTAAGTTTCAGGTTGGTTAATGATTTCTGAGAACATCCAGGAACAGTCTTAATTCTCACCTGTTGCGGTGCTGGGCGCAGGCTCAGCCCATCTGTATAATTTGGGATGTCTAATTGCTCTTTCAGGATATTTCAGAAGAGGAGTTCAGAGGAGAGAGCTGTTCCGCACTCAGCCACTGTGTAATTTTATCCACGCCGCAGTCTCTCACTTCACACAGGGCTGATACCTTTTGCCTCCCCCTTTCCTTTGTATCAATTGGTCGGCCCATTGTCGCCGCAACCGTCTTTTATATCTGCGCTCAGTCTGAGCAGAGGCTCTCAGTCAGACCTGCAGGAGGGATTCCCAGAGGCAGCAGCAGCACAGGCGAGGAGCGGATCCCACCTCAGGGGCGGCCGTGTAGAGTCTCTCGAGCTCGGATGTGCGCAAGGCTGGAGTTCTCAAGCGTTGGGGCCCCGGCACTTTAATGGGATCCCGAGATCCGGGCAGGAGTTCTCTGTTTTTTCATCATAATCGTCGCTCCCCGACCATGCCACAATGCTAATAATACCTCTGCTGGTGTTGCTGAGCCTGTTGGATTCTGTCAGTCCCCGGGCCCGCTGCGCCCCGGGCCAGGCTTGCGACCCCCGGCAGCGGAGGGACGCTGGGGGCCGCGGAGGAGTGTATGAACACCTCGGAGGAGCGCCGAGACGCAGAAAACTCTACTGCGCTACTAAATATCATTTACAAATCCATTCTAATGGGAAAATAGATGGATCATTGGAGGAAAACAACCCGTTTAGTGAGTATTCACGTTTTACGCACAGCGAACTGCACAAACACAGGCATACAAAATATCAGGCAAAAATAGCCTTTTATATATATATAGATGTTAATGTGACACAAGAGATTTTTGTAAAGGAACATTGCCTTTGTGAAAATTCTAATAAATGTTTAGGGTCAAGTTGTTAGATACATTTTTTAAAATCCAGATTAGCTGAATTAAATGGCACGTGAAGTTTCACCTTAGGGTTAATCCATTTTTTAAATAGGCCAGCTGAGAATATATGTATATGTGCAGTATTTGATATATTTGTTAATGGTGCTATTTATGTGTTTGGACCCACTGTTTTAGTTAATTCTGATATGATTAATCAGGATCTATCAGAGTTTCACTGGCAGATAAGTAACTCAGTGAAGCGCGGCCGCGGTGGGCTATTGACTTCTGTGAGTGTGTGTGTGTGTGTGTGTGTGCGCGCGCGTGTGAAATCATGTCATTGCAAGGCTGCCGACATGCGGATTAATCTCTCTCTATTAGAAGTAGGCCTATCAGCCAAAGTATTAACATTCAGGCGGGACAAAGGCGCTGTCCTAACGGATGTGTTTATCTAATCAGCGACCATTAGAGGCTTTCTACAGGGCTGAATAGGCCATTGACTAATCAAGCACTGATTAAAAAAGCCAATAAACATACTGAAGGTGGCAGTTACAACCGGAAATTAATTCATTTGCCTTGTGACAAAAGTTTATTTTTGTTTGTTGTAGCATCATTTTGCTTTTCATGATTTGTATCGGATTTCCACCTTTTAACATTTAATAATTTATAAATCTATAGAACTAAATAGAATGATCTTTTAAAGAATTAGAATTAAAATATCATTCCCTACAGCCATAGAGCAGATGTTAGCCTACTTCATATTGTTTTTTGTTTCTCTGTATTGCAGGCATCATGGAAATCACAGCAGTGGATGTGGGTGTTGTGGCCATAAAAGGGCTTTTCTCTGGCAGATATCTGGCCATGAATGATAAAGGCCGGCTGTATGCCTCGGTGAGTAGGCCTACAGATTTCATCTCATCATCTGATGTGTCATATTCTCTTCATTACATGCAGCTCCTGTTTGAAGCAACAGGTTAAAAGTCCCAAATATGACAAGGCAGAAAGTTGGTTTCATGCTGCAGTGCTTACCTCCCGTAATGTTACATGCTTATCTGAAGTGAATTACATTATTTCACGGCTGATTTGATGTTTGAAAGTGGTGAGCCTATACAGAGCTGAGCAGAATGGAAACGCTAGTGGTGTCTGTAAGAGGTTGTCCTGGGAATTAAAAACATACGGCAAGCTGCATGACAAATGTGGCTCACTGTTTCCTGCCTCCTCATCCCCCCAGGAAGTGTTCAACAGAGAGTGTGAGTTTGTGGAGCGGATCCATGAGCTGGGGTACAACACCTACGCGTCCCGCCACCACTCCACCGAGCAGCCGCTGCCACCAGGGGGCACCAGCAGCAGCAAGCGACGAGCCAGCGCCAAGCGCCAGTGGTACGTTTCCATTAACGGCAAAGGCAGGCCGCGGAGAGGCTTTAAGACCCGAAGCACGGACAAAGCCTCACTTTTCCTTCCTCGGGTGCTGGGCAACAAGGACCACGAGATGGTGAGGCGGCTGAGAGACACTCAGAGTGCACACCACCATGCACATAACCATGGCAGCCGCGCTGACCGCCGGAGACGCCGGCATCGTGCCAGGAAAGGCCGGGGCCGACAGCCAGATGACTGAGCAGGCCTTTAGAGGAGGGAGCTGACCCCTTGGCCCTATGACTCCTCCAGACATGGACCTCTGATCTCAGCACATACTGTAGCTTGATTGCAACGGAGGACGTGGAAAAACTGTTTGGATCCTGCTTTCTGGTTCAGAAGAAGATTTTGTTGTTGATGCAGAGAGAAAAGAAAATCTGTAGAAGGAGAAGGAAATACAGAGGGCCACCCCTGTGTGCTGGGACACATGTATCAAAACAGGAGACTTTAACTCACCCACACACACACACACACACACACACACACACACACACACAGCAGTATAATCTTCTATTTGATGTCTGACTTCTCCAAAATGCTACTGTCTTAAACAAATATATTAATATAGTTGAAAACTGCTATTTTACTTTGTAAAAAGTTCTACTTTGGTACAAGAAATAATTTTACCATCAACTTCACATGGAGCTAAACACCTTTTAAAAGTGGTTCTATTTTTGTAAATACAGTGCACACTATGCATGTACAGTGACTTCCTAGCTTCATTTGTCAAAAGCTGGAATGACAAACACTATAATATTTTGCTATTTTGAAGTGCTAACAAGCATGACGGATATTTAAGAGAGGTCTTTACACAGCAAAGCACTTTTTATCAGATTCACATTAAGAAGGGACACTCAGTGTGCGACGGGATAAGTGTATTTTATTGTGACATTCTTCCAATGTGATAGTCTACTGGCTGTAAACTGAAAGATGTACTTTGTATATTGTACTAATGATATGAATATTTATTTGGTGCCTGTGTTGTAAGTTATTGATAAGACTATTTCTGCATTTTACCAATGTTGCTGTTTGTTTTCACTCACCACCTGGTTCCAACATAAAATACAATGGTACTGACCCAAGGAAACAACTGGCTGATTTGTTCCAACCTTTCTTTGATTTGTTCAAACACGTTTTCACAGTCAAAGTTTGTCTTCTCAGACCTCGAATCATTTCATTTGTGTTTTTGTGGCTTAGCAGAGAGGAAAATGCTGCTGTATACAGCAGCTGTGGGCACGATGGGAAAGCCGAACCTGTGAGTATGTCAGATTGCCAGATTGTTTTCTTTCAGAATGGCGTCTTCACATTTGATCTTGTTGAAATTATGAGTGTCCTTGTTGAAATACTGAAAGTGAGGTTTTGACCTCACATACACCGACCTAAGAAACCAAACCTAACTAGCAAGATCAGTCAAATCACAAACACAAAAAAGAAGCACCAGTTTCAACAAACATTATGCTGTAAATTTGAAACAATTTCTAAAATTTAGATCTCAGTTTCAGGTTTTGTTTCTGCTGTTTCGCCCGCAGCTCTTTGAAGGCAGCGCTGCCTGAAACACACAATAGGACATTTTGTATAGAACTGAAAGTATAAAACAGCAGGACTTTAACCCAGACCCAATGTGCTTCTGCACTTTTACTTAATCCTATACAGCTTGTGTTTTTTTAACCTGTCCGCATCCAGTGACAAGATTTACATTGAACTGACAGCTGCAAACCTTAGCATTATTTCATAGTTTTAGGACTAAAACACACATGGTAATAATGTCTCGTGGGACATTATATAGCCAGTGTAGATATTCACACTGAGGATTAAAACAGCCTGCTGTGCCATGTTTCTGCTGTGTGAGCTGCAGTAGACAGGTGTGGTTGGTACACTGTTGTTAGGCTTATTACAACTCTTTCGGTCTCTCTCTCTTTCTCCCTCTACATTATCCCCCTGTCCCTGCTGCAGCTCATTTGTTAAAGTGCCACACCTGTTGCTGCAACATGGCTGAGCAGGAACTACAAAGACAACCATCCGATGCAAAATTTATCACAAGCAGCATTTGGACTCTTTTGGATGTTCAGGTTTTTTCCTTGCCTCACTCCCATCTATAGGTAGCTGCATATAAAGCCTTGTCATTCTATACCTGCGGGCTGGGGAGGCTTCCTGGCCCGGACAATAGCTCCTCCCAAGGGGGGCCTGGGAAGCGATGCCGCCTGAGACTTTTGGGCTTTTTTTTGAAACACCGACCAAAAGCCACAGAGTCGATAAACAAGGCAGGCCCTCCTGAAAGCAGAAACGGTGTCATACAAAGTGTAACACCTTGCTATGGCTTGTTATGAATGCCAACCTCTAATATTACTCAAAAGGAATCTGGAACTTCAGAGAGGTTATGGCCTTTTGTGGCCCCTCTCCCTGCCGGTCTGTTTCATTTAGCAACATTTATCTTCTGACTCTCTTCCTATACATCCCTTTCTATCTATGATATCCCCCTGAAGGATTTGCGCTACTAATATTCATCAGCCGGGCAATAAAAACCACATTAATCTGCAGTATCCACTCGGCTGATGGGGTAAAGATCCCCTAGAGATCTTTATGATGTGAATTACATAATAGTGTACCTTAGAAAAACTGTGTGTTGTGGTAAAAAGCTATCATAGAGCCTCTCTAATAAAACATCTTTTACAGAGGTTCTCAAGTTGTAACTATTGGCCCGATAAAAAGTAAATAAATAATTTACTAATGAACGTTATAGATCAGCTATACACATTTTGATTTGCCAGGTTGGGAAAAATGCTTTTGACTGAACTGGACTTTGTGACCAGTTATGGTGGGCTACAGAGGATCTGGACCAAAAACTTTACAGTGACAACTTATGAAGCAGTTATTAATGGATTACCAACATTTATAAATACATCTTTACCAAAAACAAACAGGAGCGAAAGAATTCACAATAATTTGAGCCTAAACACATGTTCTTATTAAAAGCTTATAAATGATTTATAAAGGACTAGTACAATTATAAACCATTAAGACAAGTGTTATTTACAACTTATAAACCCTTTAAAATAGTGCCTTGTAAGAAATTGTTAGGTGTGCACACCTTTCACATATCACACAAACTAATAAAAATGATGTCATCATCATGTTACATGTCTTACAAAAACAGATTGCTGGATTCCAGAGAGAATCATGTTTGGACTCATGAATGAGAGAATCATGACTGCTGCAAATTTATCCAACTCTTATACTTTTGCACCATGGCAATTTTCAAAGATGGTGAATAACTAGGCAAAATTATGGTTACTTTACAGAAGTCCATAAGTTGTCGAAACCTTAGACTGAGTGTTGTATCTGAGTGTTGTGGTGACCTGAGGGAGGCATGCAGAGGCAAAACTCTAGTAGAATGGTGTTTTAAACGTGGTCCCTGAGCTCATAGCAGGTGACTGCAGTGCAGCAGTGTTTACTTGGAAATAGGGACCCCTAGAGGCAGGTCTCTCTTCAGACACTATTGGCCCATTGCCATGTAAGAATGTGCTTTTAATTAGGCTGGCCTCAGTTTGGCAGAGCTGCTCAATGCCCTCTGCAGGCAGCCCACAGCCAGTAAACACCAGACATATCCAATTATTTCAGAGTTTATAGTAGTAATTATCATAACGTTCATCTTTTTACCAACCGAATGAAAAGATTTGGTTTGCAAAAGCTCAGTTGAGGGATATGACTGTAAACCAAGACCTTGCACCACAACTGAGATTTTACTCAGTTTATTTATTGTTGCCAATGTTGCATGTTTACGCCAATAATCTGAATATGTAGAGAAAGAAGTGCCACTTTAATGTTTTGCTTTGAAAAACTATACACTTACGTGGCAACATCTCAGCAGAAACAAATCTCCCATCATTTGGCTCGTTTTCCACTGGGAATTACATAATGTGACAAATTCACCAGTACAGTTCAGTGACAGCCGTCTAGCTGGCCAGCATCCAACTGTACTGAGCAACAATATCTGTGTTTGGATATATAGAACACGACACTGGATTCACTGACAGGTAGGACACCTCTCTACATGTTACACACAAGTGTGACGTGAATCCAGGTTGATATCTGAACAGATTAATGTTTAGTGTCTGATAGCTAGGTGGTTTTAAGAAGTAGCTGATTATTACTGCAGCATAAACATACAAGAAATGAAAAAGAATAAGGGAAAGAAATAATGGATTGAATTTTGCCCCAGTGGTGACTAAACTAGGTTTTAGGTGATTTAAAGTGACAATTACATTAAGAATATCTACTCACTTTATGAACACCATATTTTCAATGTTGGAAAATTACTATTTCTAATGTTTCTAATATTTAGCCTAAGGTTGGTTTTTAGCTGAAAAAATGCTTGAAGCAAACAAAAAGACAAAGGGAGAGGGGGCTGTTGGGTAATTCCGGCTTTCAGTTTACCATAATGCTTTTTGATTAAAGGTAAATTCAAAAAGCTTTGTCTTTTATTAAGAAGTGCATGGTTTGGAAATTGTGAATAAAGGAGTGAGCGAATGGATGCTTGTGTTAAATGTTGAGACATTTTAAGCTCTGAATTGCAGCTGTCACCAAGTGAAATCTAAAACCTCTTTCCCTCAGCATAATTCATTACATACACGTAACCTGAAACCACAATGGCTTCAGTACAACATAAACAAAAAATAAAGCCGTACATAACTTACAAATCTCGGCGGGACCAGAGAGAAATATGTGGACCCAGCTTTATTAGAATAAAGTGGTAATAGGAGATTGCGTAACCCTGGACAGCAGCAGCACAGGACCTGCTGTCTACACGGTCTACAGGCCTTCGTTTCCAGGAGCACTGCTGGCTGGAGAACATGCTCGCCAGCCAGCTCAGGCTGTTCTGGAGATCCAATGATCCTGGAGATCCTGTGGTCAGCCAGTCCACCTGGCTCTTGTCCACCATCTACCCAGAAGGTCCAGCTGCTTCAGAGATTCAGGATAGATCCATTGTCATGGTGGTCAAACAACTCTTGAGTTGTCCTGAAGGCCTGATGGATTTACAGCCACCCAGCATATTGGGGGTACAGAGGTGCCACGAGCAGTCCGTTTTCCTGAAGGTTTGATGGTGTGTCCTGGAGGTCCAGAAGTCTGTTTGATGGACCACAAGCTATTCTTTTGGTTCATGCATCCCAGTCTGGTGGTCCTTTGGATTAGGTCCTGTTTGTTAGCTGGTACGTCAGCCATTTTTAGGGCTTGGTAGTCATCAACCATGGGCCTCAACACCACAGGATTGTCTTTAAGATCTGGCTGCATTCTTTGGAGCCATTTTGCAGCACACAAAGAAACAATGTTGTTGTGCATTGATGATCAGCCAAATGTGAACGTGAGAAAACGTTTCATGCGTGGTCAATGAGGAGCAGGGCCGAGCCACCCCAGAGATCAAAGACCGTGTCTCTGTGCTGACGGAGAGGGAGGCCTTCAGTAGGCTACTCGACATAAAGATTAATAATGGGACACTCAGCAGAGAGGGTAAATGTTAGTGCTCTACATAGATTTAGCAGGGATAATAGATGAAATGGTGGAATAAGGGAGGGTAAGCTATTTAGTTTGCTTTATTTCAATGGACAACAAAAGCAATGCACCAGTGCTTCTGAAAGACACAAGGAGGACACAGATCAAATACAGTGCTGCCATGACATCAGTTGGTTATCATAATTCATTATGTAAAACAAAAATCTATTATTTCAGAGACGCATTTGAGTTTTACTGTCTTTAAAACAGATGTATTGAATCAATTAAATTCTACATAAAGGACCACAAAAGTCCAAAGGCACTATCTGCAAATAAAAATGTTTGCCAGCCACAACATCCCTGAGTATAAAACAGACTGGGTGAACTTTTAGTACTGAAAAGATAAATAAACTGAAATAATGAGAATATTCACAAAACAAGACCAGGCTCAAATATTGTGTCTTCAGTTTGTGTGGACTAAAGTGTCATAACCTTCTAAGAAACAGGTGGACTCCAGGATGCATTTCCTTTAAACAATGGGCCTAACCTAAATATATTTTCACATGTCATGCAGGGTTTATTTATTTTATTACAAAAACGGATAGGCCTACCACATTGTCTATTAACACATATGACAGTTCACAAACTTGACAAGTGTTCCAGTAGCAACGTCAGAATTAAAGTCTTGGCCAACAATGACAGCAGTACTTATCATGCTGCAAACTCTCTATTTAGTCTTACCATTGTTTTCTATAAGGGCCCGGGACATGATTTCCCTTCTACCAGTCTTAAGTTAGCGCCTTTTTCATTTGGTTGAATTGGACCTGTGTTTTTTCCTGTTATTGTTCATTTATAGAACTGTCTCCTGTCTCGACACCACGGTCTGTTAACTTGGCCGTTTCCTATTTTACATCCTCCCATACATAAATTATGATATTCTGCTGCTGATAATGAAAGCCTCACACAAAGAAGTTTTTTGTAATTATAATAGCTCCTTTATTCATTTATTTTCTACAAACTCCTGACTTTGCCCTCAGATAAGACAGCTATTATTTAATTTCAATGAGGCCCCCAGCTCTGTTTAGTGCTCCAGAATGTGAAACTTTGTAGATTTGAAGTGTGGAGCTGTGATGTAATGTGTCTGCAGGTATAAATATAGAGGCATGGCTTCACAGCGTCCACGCAGATCAATGTCGCTCCGGCGCTGAAGCCAGTGCGCCTGTCGGTCTGGGAATGAGCGCAACTTCCACACGCTCCTCTCTGTCGCGCCGCTGCTTCTTCTTTTTATTCTCGCTTCATTGGAAAGGCAAACGCCGGGAGGCTGCTTTCAGAGCCCGACCCGGGATGGGCTCTCTCGCGGCCCTGCGGACCGTCCTGGTCCTGGGCCTGGTGACCGGCCTTGCGGGATGCGCCCCCGGTCTGAACGGGACTGCGGAGCGCTGGGAGGCCCTGTACTCTCGGTCCCTGGCGCGGATCCCGGGGGAGAAGCGGGAGGAAGTCAACCGGGACAGCGACTACCTCCTGGGCATTAAAAGGTTGCGGCGTCTCTACTGCAACGTGGGGATCGGCTTCCACATGCAGGTGTTACCGGACGGTAGAATAACAGGGGTTCACAACGAAAATCGTCACAGTAAGTTGTCTCAATTATGTAGCCTATTGATTAGATGGGCCTATGAGCAGCTGCGAATTCATTTGTACACGTTTATTAGTGGTGTTTATTAGTTACAGTGCCATGTAGGAGTTAGTTTTAAAGAGAATGAATAAGTCGTTGTCAAAGGTGAGAAATATATTTTTTAAAAGCTATACAAAAAGTTTAAAGAACTTTAAGAACTTAAACAGCGTTGCTTTGAGCATGTTTACAACAACAGCATGCACTTTCTGATACAAAATGTTTCCCCACCTGCTGACACCTGATCCAACCTGCAGCGTCAACACTGCTGAATGAGATGCTGCTGCTGCTGGAAGTCAGTAAACAGCTTACAGATATCGATCCACAGTACCAACATCTGGAGGCCGTCATATGCGCTGCTGCTTTTTCCGCCGTGTATGTAACCAGAGCTCGCTGTGCTCCAGGCCCGCGGCCAGCCGGCACCTAAAGTTAGGACACGACGCACGGACCCATCTGTTAAGACAGATTAACCCGTGCGGATCTGTGTTCAGACACAGTCACATTTGCAGACACGTAGAGTTACAAGCTCTTATTTACCGAGCATGTCAGTGTAATCCTTGTCATCCCCTGTTTGTGAATTGTGGTCCTACTAAAGTGACACAACGGGAGCTGTGGAACTGACAAGCTGTCTTGGGGAACTTAAAGCATGTTGTTTTTTGTGCTGCCTCTGTACTATTTTGAGACAAGGCATAAAAATTCAGGGAGATACATTACAGACAATCTCTGTGTGGAATTTAAACCAGTCTAGCCTACATATTTTAAAATGATAGAACAAAGGACACACACCCAATCTCCTGTGACCCAGCAGAGAAACTGCATCAGCAGGGGTTCAGTAAACCTTCAAATATCTGCACATTTAATGTCACTACCTACCAATGAATGAGAAGATAGTATTTGGTCAGCTGTTGGGCTACATGATAGCAAGCAACCAAACCTCAGAGGATTTATAGGTATTTTTGTGACCTCGGGAAACCAACAAATTTCACATCACAAAATGACAGCCCCTTTTTCATAAAATGCTCTGAGACGTCTTATCATATCTCTTGTTAAAGCCCAGCTTGGTTTAAATAACTTGGTATCAGTATCGTCAATCTGTCACACCATGTTGACAAAAATAAATCATTTTTTGACTGTATGAATCTACAGTGAGATCAGGCCTGCACCGTGTCACTCACTGTCAAACTTAATAAAGTCCCAGTAGAGCTGAAATGAATCTACTTGTGTTTTTGAGCATCAAATATTTGACACACTATCACCTGTAAAATGTCTAAATATGTAAGTGCTGATCAGCATTTTCACACATGATGTCAGTGTGTGTGTGGAGTGGCGGCTTTGGATCTCTCCATCAGACCAGTATGTTTCAGCGTGCGTGCTTTGGTTTCCCTGAAGGTCTTCTGCAGATCTCTCCGGTGGAGAGGGGAGTGGTGACTCTGCTGGGTGTTCGCAGTGGACTCTTCGTGGCCATGAACCGGCGAGGAAAGCTGTATGGATCTGTGAGTGTACCAACACACTCTCTGTCTGACTGTCCGTCACTGTCTCATGCTCGCCACACACTCGTGCACACACACAGGTGGTTTAACGAAGACAAAGATAGAATGTCATGTTTCACTTGTTCCTTTTTTTGTATTTTGTTAAACCTCAAGCTCTGTTTAGAGATGCTGAATAAGTGTCTGTCTATCAGGATAGGATGGTCGGGATTGTCAAATTTCTGGTTTCATGGTTCCCCCTGATCTCTAGGATGTTGACACCACAAATAACATCTGTAAATTGTTTAACTGATAGATGATGTTTCAAAGTCTTTTCCACACTGTGCCAGAAACCAGTCTGGTGGGAAAATAATAAAATATATCTAAAAATACTGGAATCAACATATAAAATAGTCACCATCCAGAAAACAGAGAGGACATGCAGCAGGAGGGAAGCATCTATCTATCTATCTATCTATCTATCTATCTATCTATCTATCTATCTATCTATCTATCTATCTATCTAGTTTAGTGTCTAGAGAAAAAGAACAGCAAAAATGGCCCTTAAACATTGGACAAAGCTTAAAATTACTGAAACAAAATTGTCTACTCCTAAAATGTACGTTAGCATAATCAGAACTACACTGTACTAATTTCCCACTAACATTAACTCTAGATTGCATGAATATTTCTCCCTCTGAAACACACACAAATCTCATATGTGACCAGTTGGGGGGGGGGGGGGGTTGAGCTTCTTTCGGGAGTGGTGGTTGTTGAGCCGACCTAAAGTTGCATGAATATGATTCATGAGGTGACTTAAACAAACAAAAGTGGCCTGTCCCCCTAAAGCTGTTATTTTCTGATGTGATGTTACAGCTTGTGATGCTGCTGTGACAGTGCTGTTGATGTTTTCTAGTTTTTTACTGGCTGAGCCATTTTTTAACTTTGAATTGGTTCAACCCAGTTTAGTCAGTCACTGTTATGAAACCTGTTAGTCAAACAATTAGTAAGGATTTACTTTACACGCAAACTTAGTGATGAATTGGTGCAACCCAATTCCCTTTTGAGCAGCGATGTGTGGATATCCCTGGTGGACAGACAGCACTCCCTGCTTCTTTAAAGAATGTAACGCCATGAAGCAACAGTCAGAGATATGTTAGTAATGTCATGATTCCCAGCTCACAAGCTTTTATTCCACTCACTCAGAGAACAGGCACAATCAGATCATGGTGTACTGAGTCCTGCTTCACTCACAGCATTCATCATTACACAATCTCATTTTTTGTGTAAATCTCTGACTGAAACAGCTACCGTACAATAGCCCTGCAGTCTGAAATAAAGCAATTGTTTGATAGTAATCACAACGAACAATACAGACTTGAAATCCCCGACTCCCGCCCCACAAAAAAATATGTCCCGACGTCTTTGTTTTGTCTTTGCCTTCAAACAATCGGCATTTTCAAATACTCCTTACAGCTCCATCTTTTCTCCTTCAGTTACACTACAACAACGAGTGCAAGTTCAGAGAGAAGCTCCTCGCCAACAACTACAACGCCTACGAGTCGGTGGCTTACCCGAGGATGTACATCGGCCTGAGTAAGAACGGCAAAACAAAAAGAGGAAACCGAGTGTCACCCGCCATGACAGTGACACATTTCTTGCCAAGAATCTAGTGGCCTCATAAATAGACGTCACCTCAACATGGAGAAATATGACGGGGTGGCTCCATACTATGATGCACTTTCACTCCAGGCGTTACGCAAGTGTATCTTATTTGATATTTTGCTATGTATATATTCATATTTTTATTTATGTTTAACAGCAGTTTCATATTTTTTTAGGAGGGGTTGTCTTTTCACTCTGGGTGGGTAAGAGGGGGATCAAAGATGCTAAACAAGCTATTTATGTTTTCATTAATTAATTTATCAGATATTTGCTGCTACTGAATGAAATCCTGTCCTATTGGGGTTTTTGCACTGATGGGGAAAATATGCAACAGTGCACAGGAGAGCTTTATGACTTTACTATGTTTTTAAAAGATTGTTTTCAGCAAAACAGCACCTTTTCGAGTCTTACCCTGATGAAAGAAATGAGGTGCGAGTGTGTTTGGTGTCAGAGGTGGCACTGATTGCCCAATGCTCCGGCCCTTTTTTGTGGCACTGGAGCCTAATTGAAACAGTATCAGCTTACTACTGGTGAGAGAGGGGGGGGGGGGGGGGGGGGGAGGACAGGAGGAGGGGGGAGTAGAAGAACCCCTACAACCTCCACTAGTCTGTTTATAGCTCTGTCGGGGGGGGGTGAACTATGAACTTTTCTGCCGTCAATCTCAGTCAGACCTATAAGACTGCAGATAGAGAGAGGCATCCTCTTTGACATTATAATAGTTGGGAATTTGGGAGTTTAACAGCAAGGTCAAAGTGCTGAAATGCAACAGAGAAACTGTAGCCTTGACTGTGGAACAGGACTATTCTTTATGTCAAGTTATTTCTGATTGTCCAGTAGCTGTTGGACTGGATCACACAAGCCTGCCTGCAGGGTCTGAAGCAGGACAGCCAGACATGGTTGGCAGCATCACTCGGGACTGGAGAAGTTTGTGCCAATTGAACAGATATTTGCTATTTTACCTCTGATGTGCCAAAATTTGTTTCCCCTGGAAAATGTCCCTCACCTTGTCATCTTTACCGTCACTTAAAGTGATACTATGTAACTTTTGAAAAAAGATACAAACACAGAAAAACTGAATTCATAAGCAACAAATCACAACCTATCTCCGTCCAATAAACTTTTAACTTTCGCTGCTGTAATTTTCACTTTTAGCCACGGTGGCCGCTGTTCTGCAAACATTTGTCCGACTTAACTTAGACTTAACTTAATAACTTAGATTCAAACAAATAGTTTGACATTTGGGAAATACACTCGTTGGGTTTGAGAAGTTCATCAGTCTCAGGTATGTACAGCAAATAAAAAGCCACAGTCAGCAGTCAGTTAGCTTAGCTTAGCATAAGAACAGGAAGCAGGGGGAAACAGGTAGCATGGCTCTGTCCAAAGGTAGATAAACCCCCCTACCAGCACCTCATAAGCGAAATCTACATTACTACATTTTTTTTTTAAAACACAGCATTTTTGTTACGTTTGCACCTGCCATCCAGACTAAAACGGCAAATTTGAAGACCTGAAACAGAGAAGTTTGAAAATGCTGCTGACCATGTTTTCGTTTCAAAACTTTGCATCGCAAAGGCGCTTGCGTTTGGCTTCCTGATTGGCCCTTAACAGTCATGGCGTATCCTTCCCTGATTTGTCAAGCTCCTATCACATGACCTTTGTACTCCCGTGTGTACTTTCAGTACAGTTCCACCTCGTCGTCAGTCCATGCAAACAAATCTCTGGTGTGGTTCTTCACCATCGACAATCTTCAATCGTCTTTAGTTGTACTTTTGTTGTCGAATCTTCTGCAACTGCAGAGAAGACAATCTGTTCCCTGTTTACACCGACATGCGTATACCCAGTGTATGTGAATGGTCACATGATCTGCGCAGCTATATACGCAGCTAAAACACTGGGGTGGACGGAGAAAGTTTACAATAGAAAAAGTAGAATGTAGGTGTAGTCTAAAGCTCACTGATAGACACTTTAGAACTTAATCTGTACAAAAATCATTGAGTACTGTCATCACCATGCAGTTGCCAAAAATAACCACATTTGGCCAAAAAATAGCATAGAAATAGAGCTTAAGTGAGGTGTTGGTAAGCATATTTTTCAAACAGTGGACAAAGCCAGGCTAGCTGTTTCTCCCAGTTTCAACTCTTAGTGCTAAGCTAAGCTAATATTTAGCACACAGACACGAGAGTGGCATCAGTCTGAACATCTAACTCTTGGCAAGAAAGCAGATAAGTGTATTACTCAAATGGCAAACAATTCCTTTAATGATCTAAAAGTGTATTTCTCAGGCTATACATCAGTGTCATTCCCTAAGTGCATCCCCCCCCCAGTCATTTCCTTGTGCAGGGATGAACAACAACACACTCAGGATAAAATAAGCTCACAAATACATTTTGTTGAGGATACAAACTTTGGTGCAGTTCCGGTACGATCAATACACATTTTCAAGCTTTGCCTTAACTTCCTGCAGCAGCAGCTGCCCGCAGCACTAGCTCAGTTTAGTGTACATATTTTACTGACTCCTTCTGTCTAGTATTTGTCTCCTCTCTGTCTCTCTGTGTCTGCAGTTAACTGCAGCCCTGCTCTGGTGTCCATGTTGTCCTAGTTGCGCCTTGTCACGTTCCAGCTATCTTTACCCTGTGATTTACTTTTAGAAAGGATAATCATGGGAGAAATATTTACGGACAGCTGTTGGACTGTACTATATGCTATGCCAGTAACCCTATATTTTTCTTTATATATTTTGTAAATATAACCTCTAAGTAACTGAAGGTGCTGGTATTCCTTTCGAGGAGGACAGTTTTAAACCAACAGAGCTGGGTGGAAATTGCTGTCCGAAGGCACGAGTTGCATTTGATTGGCTTGCTGTGGTGCACCTGATGAATAAATCAATGAATCATCAACAACCCAGGTCAAGAAAAACGACTGGTGAGAGATAGGTGACTTCTTCTTTCTTTGCTATGCTCTCCTGTTGTGTTTAATCTAAGAGGTTTGAAATCTCAGTTTCAACATTCCACACACAATATATTGTAACCTGTCCAACTCTTGTTTGGGATTGTATTGTTTTCATCTGTTGAGTAAGAGTGCCTTCAAAAGAGGTGATGATGCACACTGAACGCACACGCTAGGTATTGCAAATAACTCAAGCAAATATCATGCAAACTGTCACTGAAGTGGCTTTAGGCCATGACTCCTGCAAACCAGCGTGGATGTGCAGAATGATCCAAGCTATGCAGGCTCACTACTGTGAGATACATGTCAAATTGTCAGAATAAGTGTAGCAGCCACTGTCTGCTAGTCCTGGTACATTACTGGTTACTTTGTGGTTGTTTAAGTCTCCTGTCCAACATCTCAGCTGGTCAACCGTGATGCATGCAGGTATACTGGTGTGTCTGGTGCTCACAGCTGTGCTTGGTGTTCTCCGGTATCACTGCTTTGCATGGCGGGCATCATGTTTACATCAGAATACCTTTCTGCCCTCCGTCACTGACCCTGGGCCAGCCCTCTACTCCGGCTGCTCATTTGGTTATTCAGCTATAGTACCAAGCCAGACCAGTGTAGTTCTTAAAGTCAGCAGTCTGTGACTGTTGTAGCACACTTTCTGCTCAAACGGTCTAAATGGTTCACATGCAGGTTGACAGTCACTGCTGACCATGCGGACTATACATACCGTCCTTGATTTCATTATACTGCTCAACAGCACCCCAAACCCCCAAATTTTCTCCCATTACATTAGTTACTGTTAAAGGGTCAATTCACACAAATTACAAAAAACATAATTTCTCACCTACTTGGTGTCCAGTCATGCAGATAGGTTTGTTTTGGATGCTCTCCTCCTTGAAAAACTAAAAATAAGCAGCAGTGTTCCTGTTTCTTTGGATAATCCACAGAATCAACTGTTGACTGAAACTACTTTCTACTGAAGAAATAGTCCCTATGAACACTGCTAACGGGATGTTGTGAGAATTTGTTTTTCCTAATGTGTGTGAACTGAGAAAGTTAAAACATTATCAGTGAGCAGGGTATGGGTGGGTATCAGGGAGTCTCCTTCCAGGACAAAACAAAGTCAGCCTACAGAATGGCTGGATTTCATTGCTCAAACTGTTTTTTACACATCTCTGAACTGTAAACTGTTGATATATTTCTACGTATGCTGCCTGGATGTTCAGGGAAAGGATTTTCTATTGTGAAGTGATGATATGATACTGTACTATCTATGATTCTGAGTCCTGTGGTCTTATGACGATTTTGTATCAACTACTTTTATCAGTTGTCTTGTAGTTTTATACAGGGCCTAATAAAATATCAAACTGTATGTGCTGTGCACATGGCAAAAGTCTAACTTAATGTAAGTTTACAATAAAATTATCATCCCCAAAATCTAAAGTGTGCTGTTATCTGTATTTTTGGGAGAAGATCCTCTAAATATGCATATTTGACCCCACATTTCTCAAGTGAATTTATGGTATTCACAGGGGTTTTGGAAATTATAAATAACATAAACCTAACCTATTAGTAATTCAGAGAGTTTAACTTGCCAAGTTTCAGTATATTCCAATAGAACAACAGCAACACAAATGGGCTGGTATTTGCGATGCATCCACACATATGCAGCAAACTCACAGAACTCAGCTCGTCCTCACCTTTAATCTGTATAAATCTCTCTGTAAGAACAAGAAAACATCCACATACTGCACCTTTTTTTTCGTTAGACCCCTTCTGCCTGCTGAGCACTCATTTTTCAAACTCCTCCTACCACAGTTTGTAACTCCCAGCAAAGTACTAAAATTTCCGTGCTCACTAAAGGGACTTTAGTAGTAGTCAACAGTTTCCAGTAATGACCCTTGGTTCATCAAACCCAATGACACACTGATCAGTCATTACAAACTGCATTCAAACAGACTACTATTTCAAATGTAGTTAAAAATGACAGTTTCCAAAGACACAAACATTGTTAGGCTGAATAACAAAGTCAGATTGTGTGGAATATAGTTTTAACAAAAATTTCAATTCAGTCAGTCAGTTTCATTTAAATTGTAAAAGCCCAATGCAGCATGGCCTGTAAAAACACCTTGCAATTAAAATAAATAATTAAATAAAACACATCAGTTAAAATTATGTTTTAATAGAAAATGAAAATGAAACACCCATACTGAAGCATCGGTACTTAAAAAATTTCTTTTTAATATACGGTGATGCACCTGACCGAAGTAGGCTGTACAGGAGTGAACAGAGGTACGTCTTCGGTCTCGATTTTTTAACATTTCTTGAGCATGCTTCTTTAACATGCAGTGGAAGGCTGTTCCAGAGGTAAGGGGTGCTGTGGGCAAATGCTCTGAAACTAACTTTTTTTGGTACCCAGTGAAGAGCAGCCAGAATGAAAGTTAGATAGATAGATTAAATTGACTGATTGATTGAAAAGGTCAGTTAACCGCTATGGAGAGGACAACCATAATAAAGAAGTAGATGTAGCCATCATGCCATCACCCATTGGTTTGTGGACTACAGTTTTAAAGCTTCAATTC